GAAGCTGCAACATGGGAGGGGTCCCTTTATCAGCACGAACGGATGAAAGTGGAAGAGCGAAAGATCCAGACAGCAAGGCAGATAGAGTTACAGTCCACCTAGGTCCTCAATACTCAATCCACTGCACTGCAGCCTCTAGCATGCAATACTCAATTCGCTGCATCCAGGGCGCCAAAGAAATCTCTTCAAGGTCAGATATCAGTGATGGCAAAGAGGTCCAATTAGCAGTGCAGGAGTAGTTCAATGACCAATATCATTTGATTAGAACAGCCTTAAAGACCAGGAAAAATATCCTGTTGTAATGTGCTGGAAAATGTACTGTAATTCTTCCCAACCTAACATAGGTCAAAATATACCTAGGGAATGTCTCAAATCTTCCCTCAAGTACTATATTCAGTGAATAATTTACTTTACTGACTTCATTGTTTGCAGAAATTAAAAGGGCATCAATAACAGTTTTTATTTTATTTTAATAAAACAGTTTATCCAGTGTTTGTGCAAAGTATCAAAGGGTTCTTAATATCTAAAACCCTAAACGTATCAGAATTTTTAATTGCATGTTTTAATGTAAAATATCCATAATAAATCCTACCCTTAGAAATGACAGCAATCATTGACAAGATTCTGAGTCGGATTAAAAGAAAAATAGAGCTCCTGAAGCGGTTTATCATCTGAGACATTATCAGACAATTATTAACCAAACCTAAAGTCAAGATGTTTAAATGCATTAAGCCAAGAAATAAATGCCGCTAATAATTTAGCAAAGATTGAATCAAACTTGCAAACCATTAATCAAAACATTAGAATACTACTCAAGAAAAATAAGGCATCAACAGAAAAATCAACTATGATGGACTGAAACAGTACATTAATTAACACTTTCCCTGTGCGATTTTCAAGAATTTCATTATGCATCATCTAAACAACACTTCTAATAAGATCACAATGGTCCTGCTTATAAAACAGTGTGCTTCTTTGTTCTATGATTAGTGCATTCTAGTTTCAGACCTTTTCCACTGGCAGGAGAGTCTGCAGCAGCCGAATGGTGAAGATTGCAGTGCCAATGTATGCCATTCTGTGGTGGACGATAACAGACTCCGCTTGATCTGCATAGCCGGCTTCTTGATGGTGAGACAAGATGTCTCCTAAACAGTCCATGGATGCCAGCAGCTTTTCTTTCTACAATAAAAAAAGAATTACAAGACAAATTTAGAAAAATGTAATCCAAACAATCTGAAAACAATGGCAGCTTAGCAGGGTCAGCTCATTAATCACCCTCATGATGAAACAATACATTAATTAACACTCTCCCTGTGTGATTTTCAAAAAGAAAAAACACCATCATGATGAGCGACAGTATAAGGGTAACAGAGAAGTGGCTATTTCTTGGCTTAATCATTAGGTTTTCTATTCACACACAGATACGTTTAAGAAGTCCAAAACTCCTATACCTCTTTTTGCAAACTGCACAAGTTACAACAATTTTCAAAAGCCATAAAATGCCAAATACATCAATAAATACTTTGCAACATGTTCTTAACAGCTAAAATAGTTGGATGTGTTCATATATACTGTACATGGAAACAAAGCTTATATTGCATGCATACTAATATTTATGGACAAAACAATGGTAAGAAATTGAAAATAAGTGTTTTTCAGCATAAGGCAGCTATGAAGGAAAGCGTTAAGGTTTACATATTAATCCTAATGTATTATTTAATATGCTGGAATCAATGTATTAAAAAAATCCTTTCATTTGAAGGAATCTAAACCTTCCAAAACTGAAGGGCAGCACTGAGAAGTGGGAAACTGCTTCACCAACTTAATTAAGGAGGAGAGAAAGGTCAGCAAGACTGGGCCAAGAGATTTCACCAGAATCATTCACCGATACCCTGGCTTCGTCAAGAAATCCCTGGGTCAATTAACTACTAACTACCAAATGAGACAGCTGGGCAGAATGACCTCCTCTTATGCACTTATGTGCTTACAGTATGTTCTTTATCCTAACACTACAATGCAATGGATTTTCTTGTCACTCCTAGGACACAGCACACACAGAACAATTCAGAAATTAACAGGTTTAAGTTCACTTAAAAAGACAGCGGACAGCGGAAATGTGATATGGTTTGGAAAATTTCACATTCTAAATTGACATCTGTCACAAGCTGTCTGTACTTCTGGATACCAACAGTTTGAAAAGCAGCCAGAGGTTAAGAAATATGTTAACTTGCCAATTCCAGTCCAATTAGGCTGTTGTCATCCCAGATCTGCTCAGATATGCAGTCTTTCAGGAGAGGCATCACCTCGGACAAGAGTTCCAGGACACGAAGGAAGGTTTTCATGCTTTCTAAGAAGTAAACATATTTTCCTACTTAATATCATTATGGTCAGACACAA